AATAATATTAAAATTAATATTAATTTTTATATTTTTTATACAAATTTATAATGAAAAAATAGTCTTAAAAAACCCTATTTTTGAATTGAAGTAAACTAGCACCTGAAAAGAAAAAAAAATGTTAAAGCAAATTGTCATCTCACAATTTCATTTTAAAGAAATTAACAAAAATTTCACGGTTGCCCTCCTTTAAACTATTATTTTAAAGTTTAATGAAAAATTAACCATAATCATTAAATTAAACTGTTATTTTTAAATTGAAAATTTGAAATGACAATTCGCTATAATTGTTTTTATAAGTACTAATTTGCTTTAATTGAAAAATATTGAAGTGCAATTTACACCTTATGCCCATAAAACGCCATTCTTTTTATACTTCTAACAATTGCCGTTTGTCTATCATCTTTCAACCAACATTTGACTGTTCTAAGTAGTGATAATTATGCACATCCTTAGACGAAGAAGATTAAGCAAGCTAACTGCGAGGGCAAGTTGGACAAAAATAATTGCGAGTGCGAAAGAAGAAACATATTCAAATAGTTCACCCAGGTTCTACATTTAGTAAAACAAATCTTCTTGTATTCATCCATAGCAAATGGTATTACAGATGAGGCTGCAAACAGCCAGGGAGAATAAGGAAACATAGCACATCCTACTTAAGATTACTCAACCACGAGCATTAACAGTCCGTGGATACTAGAACTCAGTATTTTACGTCTTACAGCAAAATAATATCATCTCTCAGCATGTGTTCCAGCAAAGCAAACCGCAAAAGTATAGCAAAGCCTTCTCTTCCTTTGAAGCCATATGTTACAGATAGCAACACTTCAAGATGATTATTATGAGGCTTGCTAAGAGTTGCCTGAAGCATGAACCAAAATGAGACTAGAATCACATATCCAAAATAAAACCAACTTACATAAATAGTTAGTTTCTACATTTTAAACGAGCTTCAACTATATTTCATCCTAGTTAAGCAAGTTTCCATCAATAGTTATCCAGCCTATAATGGCAAACCTGATCAATAAAACAATTCATGGGATAAATTGAAAACTATCAGAAAAGAAATATTATATATATATAAACAATAATTAGTATGCCCTCCGATTCAACACACTTCACAACACACTTATTAAGAAATTATTATTTTCAAACTTGAATTCAAGGCAGAAAAAATTTTTCAACTGCAGAATTTA